CTAGTACTTCTCAAGAAATCCTCCCAAACTAGACAAGTACCCTTCCACAACCCTCTCCTATGATATACATCATCAGTTCCAAAGAAGTCCAATCACCCCAAGAGTTGTCATATGTTGTAGTCACCACCCTTCTCCAGTATGTACATCTCACATGCAAATCTCCATAACCACTTTTCCAAGAGGGTTGTATTGAAGATATCCACCGACTAATCCCTAAACCATCTTCCTTCACCAGACTGCCACACAGTATCCCAATCCACAAGATGGTATTTGAACTCCTTCCCGAGAAGTGATAAACCTGGAATTTGGTTGATGTTTGAGTGTGTGTACCACCCCATAGAAGGTCTAGCTATAGCATTTTAAGCCTCCTTGCCACCGAGACTACAATTGTGGGTAGTGATATAAAATAGGTTGGAAAGCTTGAAAAGTACTCTTAATGTGTTGGATAGAAACTTCCTCTTCAACCCTACCAATCTTTTTTGGAACAGCTCCACTGTCCCATCCCAAACCGCCTTAGCATTAAATAAAGACCTTCTAACAAACCTACCTTAAAACCTTCCGTTAACCCCCTTAATCGTCCTACTAGTAATTCTATACAAAGCCTCCATAACTAGAATGAAAAAAAAAGAAGTGATGACAGATTCACTTACTTCGAACCCCTTGATGTGTGAAAGAAACGAATTGGTGATCCATTCACCAAAACCAAAAACTGAATTGAAGACATACAATAATGAATCCATTGCCTCCATCTACATCCAAAACCCATCCATCCCAAGTATAATAGAAAATCCCAATCACATGATCATATGAATTTTCAATAGCTAGCTTACAAATGACCCTCGCCTCACTAGTATGTATTATGGAATCAACACACTTATTAGGCACAAGTATGACCAGTGTTTTAAAAGGAGTGTGCGCCTAAGCGCGAGGCGTAGCCTTGCGCTTCGAACAGGTCAAAGTGAGGCGCAATATGCAAGGCGCAGCTTAGGCGCTGAGGTGAGGGCTTTTTTTTCGAGGCGTGGGCTTCATGGGCTTTACTTATTTTTTTGCTTAAACTATTGATTAAGTGTTTTTTTTTGTGGGCATACCCACAGGGATTCAAAGCTCTTCTATATAAAATGACCAAACGTGGTCAAAATAGAGCAGAAAGTGATAAAAGATTGATTGTTATGCTTTATATCTTTTGTTGGATGTTATATTTCTAGTTTTTAGAAGATTGAATGTTATGTTTAAAGATTATCGGAAATGGTTATGATTTTTGAAATTCTATATATATTTGTTATGTTGAAAAGTTTGTCTATTTTATAATTTTGCTCTTCTTCTACCACTTGCGCTTCGCTTTGGTGAGGCACACGCTTTGCCTTGTGCCTCTGACTTAGGCTATAGGAGACCTTATCGCCTCAGTGCACCTAGAGCCTTTTAAAACACTAAGTATGACATCCAAAATCTGATGACCATGCATAAAAGCATTTTGAGAGTCAGAAAACACCAATTGTAACACATCTTTCAGATAGATGGCCAACACTTATGCCAACAATTCATATTCCCTACCAAGCAAAATAACAAGTTGAAAGTCTCTTCAATGTGCTCCACACACCCTTTATTAGGGATTAAAGCTACAAAGGAAGCATTCAAAGTTTCAAAGTTTTTTCAAACATGCGCTCTTGAAAATAATTCATCATACCCATCATCTCCTCTCTCACCACATTCCAATAATTTAGGAAACTGGTCATAGTTATACCATCAGATCTTGGAGTTTTGTCCCCATTAGCGTCCTGTAGGGCTCTAAGAATCTCATCTTCCAAGAAAGGTCTATCCAGCTGCTCCACCCCCTCAATTGATATGCTGCCAAAATCGATACCATCCATTCATAGACTCCACCCCCTATTCTCCTCAAACAAACCCACAAAAGCTTGCAATTCACTCCTAATCTCTAACTTCCCTGAGAACCCTTCTATCAATTCACACCCTCATGAGATTATTCCTCCGTCGAATATTAGCTATTATGTGAAAAAACCAATGTTCTTAACTCCTTCCTTAGTCCGTCCTTAGGTCACAGGGACCTAGCCTTTTGGTTTCCGACTAATTTATTCTATCTTTGGTATTCTCCCATACTCCACTGCCTTCTCCTCTAACCTGCCATCATCCTTCGAAAGGCCATTACTAGCGTCTTCCTCGTCAAGACTTTGAATATGTTCTGGCATCTTTGCCTTAGGTACCTCTAACCTGCCAAACTCCCCATATTCCATCTTTTTAGATCTGCTTTTAAAAACTTCAACTTCTTATCTAGAACAAGGCTATGATTACCCCTAACTTGGTAGCCTCTCCCCCAATTAGGCATCTTGTCACAAAAACCATCGACCTGCAACCACATATTCAAATCTCATGTCATTGCTTTCTACCAATGAAAATTCAAATCTTATGATTGAGTGTCTTCATCAAGATAAAGAGCAATTAGCTCAATCTAAAAAACATGGCCACTAAATTGAGTAGAATCGTCCCGAAGAACAACCAGAAATTTTGTTTTGTTTTGTTTAGAGGAAGCTTACAAGATCAATAGTATTTCCCTAGGCATTGATAATTCCGTTAGTGGAATCTATGTTTAGCCATCTGAAAGATGTTTGATGGTCTCAAATGAAGGTCCTTCAAGCTTGGTTCTTTCAGTTGTGAAGCCACAATACATGTAGTTCTACAAGTTTGAGTTGAGCATAAAGTTACTGAAGCATCATGAGAGATCAATAGAATTTCCCTAGGCATTGATAATACGGTTAATGGAGCTCATGTTTATCAATTTGAAAGAAATTTAATGGTCTCAAGTGAAGGCCCTTCAAGCTTGATGCTTTCAGTTGTGCAGCTACAATATGTGGAGTTGTACAAGGTCAAGGATAATTTTGCTATAGCACCATCAATTTTCTTTAAAGAGGTTATCAAGCTTTCACAGCTTAGTCAGTCAAACAGGACCGTGCTGGTGATGGAAAAAATGTTTTTGAAATTAAATTGTAAAGTCTATGATGTATGAGAATTGAATCTTGGAAAATTCAAATATATTTATCAACTTTGAGGACAAAGCTATTTTCAAATAGGTTTAATTAGGCTTAAATGCTGATAGTTATATTGCATTTTGAGTGTATTTTGATGTGCTTAATTACTCTGTATAAAGTGTAGATATTGTATGGCATTGTAAGGAAGAAATGAAACATTAGGTGGTTGTTAGGTGCAAGATCACCCACAAATGTGCTCAAAAGGTGAACACTTGACCACCCAAGTGATCAAACCCTTTGATATTACCATATTTCTAGTTACATTCCTTTTGGAACGTTACAATGCTCTGTCTAAGTGTGTTGCGTGTGTGTGTGAGCCTTTGATATTAACCTTTCAATTATTATTATTATTTTTTTTTGGAATTGATGGATGCAGGATAAGAACATTGATTTGTCGGCGAAGATTGAAGAAGGTTTTGGACCCAATGGGTTGGGAATTTTGTCGATATCAGATGTATGAAATGAATTTTTTCACATCTTTGCTTGAATAATGCAAGTCTATTTGTCATCTCTTGATTTCAATTTTGGATACATATAGACAATTGTATGCTCTTATTTGTTCAGTATGCTTGAAGTTTGCAGAACTAACCCCACTGTATAGATGAATTGTTTTAGTTTGAAAAAAATGTCATTCTTTACAATCTAATAACAGGAACCCCACCATATGTAATTCTTGTTCATGGTCCTGTTTGTAAAAATCCCTGAGAACTTTTTTATATTATAAATAAAAATCTTTATTAGCCCCGGGATGATTGTGCATCAAAAGCTTGATACTTGCATCAAACAGTGTGTAAGAAACCATGCTGTCTATATATATTAACTTAGGAAAATTCTGTTCATACATAAAGTTCATATAAAAAAACTTTACAAGAATGATGTGGCAATGCCATTATTGTAAATAAATGCATCTTCATTGGTATTTTTTTGAAGTGAATGGTCCATAATGAGCCACATCATTATGTATGAAAATTTTGTATGGATTTTTTGTTTGTATAGCATTACTCATTAACTTATAGAGCTTGATAGCTGCTTTCATTTATTGGAACTAATCACTTTATATACAATTCGTGATTGCTTTAGGTTCCTGAGTATTCTTCATTGCGTCAAAATCTTCTGTGTCTTTCACCTAGGTATAAGCTGTTGAATGGATTTTCTGTATTTATTTTTGATGAATCTGCAGATATTAAATACAAGGATTGTTATTGTTATTTTTTAAAAATCATAATACCTATTGGATTGATCTTTTTCTTTTATCAGATTAGCCTGTCTGCCTGAAGATGTGAAGAAAGAACTGGAAGATCCTAACAGTAGGTAATACAAGAATTGCTTTCTAATTTTCCACTTCTTTAATGGTTAGTTGTCACTCACTGCTAGGTATAAACAAATATTGTGTCCCTCTCTTTGCTTAAAATTGGTTACTTTGACAATACAAGTTTTATCAAGTTTCAGTTTTATTTTTTATTTTTAAAAGCAATATGTTTGTTTTCATCCACTTTTATCATTTCAATTTTTTTATAACTTCTGGATGAATGCCTAGGTACAATTTTGGATGGAGTCATGGGAAAGAGAAGCTAGAATCTGGAAAACCAGGTAGACTTGTCCCGAGTCAATTATGTTAGCCAATTATATGAGCTTATAAACAATGCAGCACTATGTTAACTACCCAAATCTAATCTTAAACATGAGGAAACCTCTATGGACCACTAAGTTGTTCTTGATTGACCATTAAATTGTTTAGGATTAGGTAAGAAGTCGAGTATGCTTTTTGTATTTTGCATCCTTTCCACAACACTAAATGATCTCTTCAATAGTTACTGCTTCAAAAATTGCTCTCATACTGTTTTGTATACCTATTGGAAAGCTTCTTGCTGAAACATACAAATTTAACTCTAGGAATTCTATCATATGCTTTTCCTAATTTCAAAAAATCGTGTTCTAATATTTTCTTCTCTAGTAAACCATGTATACTGCCTAAAAAGTAGTTTTCTGTGGTAGCAAACCTCCTTGGATTGAAGCCAGAATGGTTCTCACTGATTCTACTTTATGGTTTATCTGCGGTAGCAAACCTCTAAGCTCAAGTGCACGGTCGCATAAGTGACAATGTACTGTGATTTCAAGCCTGATTTTCATAAATGCAAGCCCTGGTTGATCCAAAATGCTCCTGACCTCTACCGTGATCTTCTTGAGGAGGCAAGTGCAAAGGAAACTGATGAAGTCTCCAATTGCTTCCTGTCCACTCTAAATTCCAATGGAATCGTCCCTTCTGGTGGTTCTTCAATTTCAAAGGAAGAAAAAATAAAATGCCTTCCTGCGGGAAGATAGAAAAAAAAATGAAGGAGAAACAAGGATTTGTAGCCAAAGGTGGTGCATAACAAGTGAAAATGCATGACCGTTGTGTAAGGCCTGGATCTTTCTAGTGTTAAATTTAGTGATTGTTCAGAAGAGCATGGGAAGACGCTTGCCACTAGAGCCTCTGTTGTTAAGGGACCAACTGAAAAAAGAGTTGTGTAATGTTCAAGTAGACATAACATAACCAATAATGTTTTTGGAGTTCCTCAGAGACCTGGCTTGATGTGCCAGAATCTGTATTATCCTTTGTTGAGGATGAAAAAAGGGCTCCAATTGTTGATTTTTGAGTGGGGGTGTGGTACCTTTCTTTCCATTGGCTTGACTCTTCATCAAATCTAGTGTACTCTGAAATCAAAGGGTTGTAATAGATAAAATTGAAGGCAGTGGATACTGTTCTTATATTTTATGCTTAGTGCTGTTTTTTTTTTTTTATTTATTCTTTTTCTCCTCTCTCTCTCTCTCTCTCTCTTCTTTTGTGTGTGTGTGCTTGTGTGTATTTACACATCCACAGGATCAAAATAATGGGCCAACTAACAGCTTTCAAAATATCTAGAAGTATCTTTGGACATAAAATTTAATATTTTGTTGACCTTGCCAAATCAAGTCTTAAATCCTATCAAATGGGATCGGCTATATGAATTCTTCTTCTCCACTCGACTCTATCAATGGCCACTTGGTTAGTCAAATTAAGGAGATTCATATCTCTATTTACTACACTAGCCCATGTCAATCTAGGTCTGATCCTTCCCCTAACAATTCCATCTACAGTCACTGTATCGCATCTCTTTACTGCTGCCTTTGTTGGTCTCCGTTGTATATGACCAAATCATCTCAATCTATTCTCTCTCAACTTATCTTCTATCTGTACTATTCTACCAATTCACGAATATACTCATTCTAACTCTGTTTTTTCTAGTCTTGCACTCATCACCTTAGCATCCTCATCTCAGTGCTACTCATCTTATTTATATGTTGTTTTTAGTTACCAACATTCTGTCCATACAATATCACTAGTCTAATGACCGTTCTATAGAACTTTCTTTTTAGTTTAGTGGTACTCATTTACTTTTTGCTAACCTTAAGAGTGGAAAATGATATCACAAGTTTTTCTAAAGAAACTCAGCATTCTCAAACAATAGAAGTTCATTTATTCACACTTCTAGCTGGTGAATTCCTATCTGGGTGATAACTTTTGATATGCCAGCTAAAGGTTATTGTTGTGGGGTGTTTATTTTTTGTTTAGTCATATTGTGAAATATAGGATTTTTAATTCCTTCAGTTACACTAAATCTTTTAGTGAAATAAGAGTTATGATGACAACAGCATATCTCTGATTCAGCTTTATTTACTCAGTGGGCTATGTAGGGAAATTAATTTAAGAATTATTCATATCCAGCCCATGGTTAGTCAAGCTGGTTTCAAGGTTGAATCTCCAATTTGTTTATCGTGAGACCTCAATTTGCAAGAGTGAGTGGTGAAAGAAGATTATGTTGCTAAAGAAGGACTTTTAAGCATGAAATTTGACGAGAACTTGATGTGTTATAGCGTGTAATCTATGTTAGCATATTATATTAGCGAAAGTGTTTTGCATATTATATTAGCCGAAAGTGAGTAGGGTCTGTAATCATTTTATACCCTCAGGGGATCATCTTGTAATTGTTTTCTTGTAACCCTAATCTTCATTTATAAATAAGGGGTGATCTTATCATACCCTAAGCTGGTTACCAAGCTTCATGTATCAGAGCTTACCTCTAGGGTTAGGGTTTAAAAAAACGTACCTAGTTGGATCATTACTGGGTCGATCTTCAGTCACTGTTGTCACGCTGCTTCGTCTTCATCAACGCGGTTGGACATCTGCTTCGTCTTCGTTCTTCGTCTTCGTTCTTTCCTCTGTCGTCGATCTCCTCAGTCTCAGCTCGTCGTCGTCTTCTCAGTCCTCTGCTCGTCACTCGTCGTTTTCGTCGTCTTTAGCTCTCTGTCGTCGTCGTCGTCTCTACCGCCTCTTGTCGATTCGTCCAGCTCCTCCAGACGTTCGTCATCGTCTTCCTATCCTCATGTCGTCGTACTCATCCTCACTGTGGTATGATCTCAGACTAGTGTATTATAAATAGATATATATATATTAATCTATATATATAAAACTAGCCTGATATATATATATATATATTTATATATAAATCCATGTATATATCTGATATCAATTTTATATTAAAACAAAAAAAAAAAAACAAAAAAAACAAAAAAAAACAAAAAAAAACGAAAAAAAAAAACAAAAACAAAAACAAAAAAAAAAAAAAAAAAAATGGTTTCTTAATTTTGTTATATCTTTATAGTGGTCATTGTGCCTGTTATATCATTACCACCTTCCAGGTTTGTGATTGCTACTAGTTTTTGTTGCGGGTTGGTAGTATTGTATCCATGACAGATTCCACCAGTGCGTCCTTCTT